CATGTAAAGACTACAGCGTAGGCCACATGTAAAGACTACAGCGTAGGCCACATGTAAAGACTACAGCGTAGGCCACATGTAAAGACTACAGCGTAGGCCTCATGTGTAGGCTTCTTTATACTTGTGCATCAGACTGAAAACACTCACCGTCTCAAACAGCTCTTCCATCAGTTCGTTCACCTCCTTCTCTGCAGGACACAACAACAACAACAGATAACATAAACAACACAACAACAACAACAGAAACACAAACAGATGTGTACTGACTGGTGATGCGGACGGCCTTGTCGTCACGGTAATCCTCAACATCAGGTTCATCGATGTCAGCCAGGAAGTTGTACTCTGGATCATCTTCATCATCACACTCCTCTTCATTTTCCATGTCTGATGTCATCAGGCCTCTCAGCCAATCAGTCCACTCCCTGTCCTCGTGGGCCGAGCTGGAGTCGTACATGTCAGGTGTGATGTCAGGAGCTCGGAGCTCCGCCTCCAGTCGGCCCAGCGGGACATCACGTAGAGGACGCTTGGAGCGCGTTCTGTACGCCATCAGCCCCACCTCATCCTCTGACTCCGACAGCGGCTGGTAGACACCGACAATCAATAATCAGAGTCAGAAACAGACAGACAGGGTCAGAAACAGAGTCAGAGAGAGACAGACAAGTCATTTTAATTTTATTTGATTGTATTTTCTATGTAGCACCAGATCACAACAGAAGTAATGTAAGGTTACCTTTCCTTGTCCTTTTATTAAACAAACTAAAGAGCCTTATGTTATTTATCGTATTTACATGATGGCATGCCATTTCTGTTTCTACATGGTTGCACCTTTACAATTCTCTCTGTATCGCATACGGCGGAGTTCCACCCCAATGTACGTACACACACACACACACACACACACAGACACACACACACACGGCTCGAGACGCATTTTCCTGACCAAACCAGACCCGAGTCCGAGACAATTAGAACCGAGCCCGGTCGAATCTGCAGCACTGTACACACATTCAATGGAGCAGAGCCTGTGTTGCGTTCAGGCCTTGTCACGTAAATAACAAATTCCAGCACTTGCATGGTCTCTTACACAGACGCCTATGACATCAGCACGCTGACTGACTCTGTTGTCTGTGGACATTCCCATAGGAAAGTTGTAATAGAACTAGCGCTGGCTCCCAGCGGCAGTGATGTGATTGGATCCATATCCATGTACTTCCGTACTTCCATGACCAACGGCTGATTAGCTTTGCCTTACACTGGAAATGCTGTTCCCCGAATTGTTGTCCGTAGTACAACAGAAAAGGAAGAGTTTGGTGCATCGCAAGAAGAGATTAAAATGGATATGATTTCATTTGATTCAGCTATATTGCAGAGCTGCAACGTCTCTGTTACATGTAACACATGTGCCGTACCTATGGCAACGCCGTCACGTGGTCTGGATGTGCTCACCCATTTCTATTACAAAACGAAAGACGAATGTCCCCAGACTCGCATTCCGAAGTAAGGGAGGCTGGTCACGCGAGACTAGCACTTGCATTGCCCATAGCACAACACAGCAGCATGACAAGTGGGCCAAACCTGACACACAGTGTCCAGAGACAGACAGAGACAGAGACAGACAGACAGAGACAGACAGACAGACACAGACAGACAGACAGACAAAGACAGAGACAGAGACAGAGACAGACAGAGTCAGACAGAGACATACAGAGTCAGACAGAGACATACAGAGGGTTAGGGTTAGAGAGAGAGAGAGATTCCATGAGCATGAAGATGAGCTCCTGAATATTTTTGCTTTTTTGGATGTTTTAAAGTGAGATAAACTACTGTTCTTCTAAGAGCTGGAAGAAAACAGAAGAGAAAACCGTTG